CTCTGAATGATGTGAGATGACGTATGGTGGGGATGGCAGCACTATGCCCCTATGGTCATTATTTTTTTGCCACAGACATTAAATAGGAAAATATTCTGAGCATGCGCAGTGTAGTTTTTACAGTCACCGTTCACTTAGACAGAGAGAGGGAGGGGTAGGATCGGGTTTTGTCCCACATGACTCTAAACAGCTCAATAGGCACACACTGTAGACACTAATTAGAATAACACAGACTAAAACAGCAATGTACAGACGAATCAGATGATTAAACATGATCTTAGAATATATATTTTATATATTTTTTAATTTATTTTTTGCATTTTGTTGTAATCATTATTTGTAATACTTTCTGCTGACACTAGGTGGGGCTGTGCCACCTGCCCCTAATGACCAGTCGCCACTGGCTGTACTAGCTGAGCTCCCCGTGTCTAATGTTTTGGCTGAAGACCCATTAAGTCGGAGGCAGGAGGCGCCTCTAATGACCAGTCGCTGTCCACTGTGCACATTACATAGACTAGCTAATATTCTACCTACTGCTTGGGACTTTGAGTCTTCAAAATGTCCAATGTCACAGACTGGGACTTACTTTAGAGTCAGTTGTATTTACATTCAGTATGACTTGTTATGATTCAATGTGAAAGAGTATACTGCTCAATAAGTAATTATCACTTCACCACCTCTCTTGACATATAGGCGCTTGAGAGTGAGTCAGAGGCAGAACACAGGGACAGTGGAGAGAGGTCCGTTGCTGAAGTGAGTGATGAAAGGGAAATTACAGTTTAGAGTCAATTGTGATGTGGACTCTCATCCCAGAATTTTAAGGAAATCAGTGGGGATATTGAAAAGGAAACATTTCAGTCAAGGGGCATCTCATATGACCAATATAGACAGAAGAGCAACATTTATTTGAACATTTAAGTCAATGATACCATTCCTAGGTGAACTTAACATCTGTATGGAGTCAGATCAGTCTCAATATTAATAAATGCTCACAGAAGGATTCACAAATGTATTTTGCGATTTATATATAAATGACTCTCCACAACAATATCTCTCAATGCACTCACAAATATTTATTGTTGTATATAAATGTACAAAAAATGTGCATTTAAACTGCTTTTTATTAATTCAAAGACGGCTCTGAATTAATAATCAAATATGTTTCCTTTCTTTATTACTGGATGAAATTACAAAATGTTCCCATAATTTCCCTCATGCTAGTATAGCCACATAAAAGCTAAAAAACAAAACCACCAGAATACAGGAAATCTATTTTTTTTTGTGGGGGAGGACCCCCACACCACCTGTTAAAAATGTCCCCCCTACATTCAGGATGCTTCCTACGCCCATGAGACCTATTATATTTACAGCCCTTAATAACATTCATTTTCTGGGCTCAATATGTGTCTTGGCCGTGTTCGTTGTGAAACCAAATGGACCCAACAAATACACTGAACAAAAATATAAATGCAACCCCTTTGTTTTTGCTCCCATGTTTCATGAGATGAACTCAAAGATCTAAAACATTTTCTATATACACAAAATAACCATTTCTCTCAAATATTGTTCATAAATCTGAAAAAATCTGTGATAGTGAGCACTTCTCCTTTGCCGAGATAATCCATCCCACCTCACAGGTGTGGCATATCAAGATGCTGATTAGACAGCATGATTATTGCACAGGTGTGCCTTAGGCTGGCCACAATAAAAGGCCACTCTAAAATGTTCAGTTTTATCACACAGCACAATGCCACAGATGTCGCAAGTTTTGAGGGAGCGTGCAATTGGCATGCTGACAGCAGGAATGTCCACCAGAGCTGTTGCCCGTGAATTGAATGTTCATTTCTCTACCATAAGCCGTCTCCAAAGGCGTTTCAGAGAATTTGGCAGTACATCCAACCGGCCTCACAACCGCAGACCACGTGTAACCACACCAGCCCAGGACCTCCACATCCAGCATGTTCAGCTCCAAGATCGTCTGAGACCAGCCACTCGGACAGCTGCTGCAACAATCGGTTTGCATAACCAAAGAATTTCTGCACAAACTGTCAGAAACCGTCTCAGGGAAGCTCATCTGCATGCTCGTCGTCCTCATCGGGGTCTCGACCTGACTCCGGTTCGTCGTCGTAACCGACTTGAGAGGGCAAATGCTCACATTCGATGGCGTCTGGCACGTTGGAGAGGTGTTCTCTTCACGGATGAATCCCGGTTTTCACTGTTCAGGGCAGATGGCAGACAGCGTGTGTGGCGTCGTGTGGGTGAGCGGTTTTCTGATGTCAATGTTGTGAATCGAGTCGCCCATGTATGTTATGGACAACGAACACAGGTGCATTTTATTGATGGCATTGTGAATGCACAGAGATACCGTGACGAGATCCTGAGGCCCATTGTTGTGCCATTCATCCACGACCATCACCTCATGTTGCAGCATGATAATGCACGGCCCCAGTGGCGGCCGGCCCATAGGGGCGCTAGGGGCGCCGCCCCACCTCTTCACACATACAAAATAAAAAATATATATATTTAAAAATATATATTTTTTTATTTTATTTTTATTTTTAATAAACAAGGTAAATATTATATAATTGGTATCAGTAAAATGTATAATCTACAATAAAATCTCGTTTAAAATTGTGTTACGACGATGTCTAAAGTTACTGATAAGTCAACTTATCAGTAGACCTGCCTGGCCTTGCCCATGTGTCATTACCTTTATATACACCCTCTCTCGTCTGGGCAGTAAGAAAGGAGCCCTCAACCAGTGCAGCAGCAGCCACTAGCAGCTGACTGTTGCTATCTGTAAACTATGATGCTGAAATATAATTTCAGCCAATCAGCGTCGTCAAATCTGATGATCACTGGGCGCCAATGTCAGCGCCCGGTCCAGTCTGTGAGTAGTTTGGGCACTAGTGACTCGTATCCGGTAGGGTGACGCAGTACGGCAGTAGTTGATGAGGATGGCTTCATGTGCAGGTGGAGTCCCCGCCCAATTCCGTTCAAGTGCTAATCTCCAATCCTTTCGAAGTTTGGGAGATAAACTGTTGCTTAAAGACCTTGGACCGGACCAACCCGATTTGTATATATCGCAGCAAGTTCGTGAAAAAGACAAGACGTATCAACGAGGCTTCTCACGTAGCTGGTACACCAGAAAGGCATGGCTAGCTGGATGCAAACAGGTAAATACTGTCTTTTGTTTCCCATGCTTGCTCTTCAAACAGCCGGGGACAGATACGATCTGTTCAGAAACTAGACAAAACTTAAACAAGTACAAACCACAGACTGTCTGTGTCATGGAGAATACAGTCGCTGGTTTATTTATGTCTGTATAGGCCGTTGTTGTGAGTGTGGACGGTCGGAGCAAATACTGCGTTAGCTTAGCCAAGCTCCATTTAGAAAACACGCATTTTAAAAGAGGTTTTCGCCTGCCGTCTGTCTGCAGACTTGTCAAAGCGTTAATTCATGGTTTTTACTAACCGGTATCAGTATGTTGTTAATTCGGCATAATTTTGAAACGTGTATTACAATTAAATCACGGTAAAATATGTTCATCTGGTTATAGTTGTAGCCCCCTTGCCAGCGATTCTCTCTCTAGTTTAGCATACTCAGCCCGACTCAGCCTGGTTGTTCAAGGCCCTAGAACCACGATTTATGGGGCCAGAAAAACTGTGAATTAGGACCCGATAGCCGGTACTAGGCCAAGTGGAAACGCAACCAAAAACGGGCCCCGCACGGCTCGGCACGCTTAAAGCGAGCTCCGCGCTGCACTGGAAACGCGCCATTACATCACCAGAAGTCCTAATTTAAGGGGTAATTTCTCCCAAAAAAATATGTTTTACTCACTATATCAACAGCCCCACCAAAACGATTTTCCACCAGCTGCCACTGCACGGCCCCATGTTGCAAGGATCTGTACACAATTCCTGGAGGCTAAAAACATCCCAGTTCTTGCATGGCCAGCATACTCACCGGACATGTCACCCATTGAGCATGTTTGGGATGCTCTGGATCGGCGTATACGACAGCGTGTTCCAGTTCCTGCCAATATCCAACAACTTCGCACAGCCATTGAAGAGGAGTGGACCAACATTCCACAGGCCACAATCAACAACCTGATCAACTCTATGCAAAGGAGATGTGTTGCACTGCGTGAGGCAAATGGTGGTCACACCAGATACTGACTGGTTTTCGGACCCCCCCAGACCCCCCCAATAAAGCAAAACTGCACGTTTCAGAGTGGCCTTTTATTGTGGCCAGCCTAAGACACACCTGTGCAGTAATCATGCTGTCTAAGCAGCATCTTGATATGCCACACCTGTGAGGTGGGATGGATTATCTCGGCAAAGGAGAAGTGCTCACTATCACAGATTTTTTCAGATTTGTGAACAATATTTGAGAGAAATGGTTATTTTGTGTATATAGAAAATGTTTTAGATCTTTGAGTTCATCTCATGAAAAATGGGAGCAAAAACAAAAGTGTTGCATTTATATTTTTGTTCAGTGTAGATACACGGATTGACCGTCCTCATCTGCGCTCTTATTTTGTCAGGTAACTTCCGGTAGCAGAATATGAAAAACCGGTAGTTTTTTAGTTTCTGTTTTCTAGTGATTTTATTTTTTGTTTTGAGAAGTAGAAAATGAAAATCATCCCGTTTTTTAAGTTTAGTAAATCCATTTTTGACCATGATAAAGAAAAACACCTTTTATTTCAATTTTGGTTTTTCAATTTTAAAACTGTCTACTGACGTGTATGGCAGCAACAAAGGATTTCAAAGTCCAGCAGCTCAGTTTGAACTTATTCTACAAATCTAGCTTGAATCTATTCTGTATTTTCGCAAATGTGAGCCCCTAACTAAACCAGAAAGTCAACATGTGAGTAAATACATGACTTATGGCAAAACTAGAGCTAAGTAATAAATAATCTCTGAGGTAATACATTTGGAACAATGAAGGCAATAAGCAGCAGATTTTGTGGTTATATTCACAAACGAGAAACAACATACCTTTGCAAAGGTGCTGAAAAGTTCGGGGGTCACCTTGAGGGTCTTCTTCTTATCTCCATCGTACACAATCTTTGATCCCACTGGAGTGTTGGCCTGGGTAATGATAGCCCTGTCCAAACCATGGCACTGACTGCTCAGCTGAGAGCTGGGGAAACACAAGGACTTTGTTAAATAACTTACAAGAAGGTCAGGGGAGTTAAAGACAGAACGCTTCATAATTCAGGCAGTTTGTTCAGGTTATAAATACGAAGATTCTAATTTCCTGTAATGTTTTTAATTGAATAAAGAGACCCAGGTTGGTAGAAGCAGAGTTTGGTCCTTCAGGGGAAGTCTTTCTGTTTTTCCATAACTCATATGACCTTAAAACATGTAGCTATATTTTCAATGTCATGTGTGTATAATGCAAGTTCCTCTGCTTTTATCTATACTTCTATTCTCACTTCTTCTTCTTTCTTCTGACTGTTCTGTACTTATTTTTTACAAGAGCAAAACACATTCTACAAATCTGTTGATTTTTCTGTCAATATTTGAAACTAGTACACTTTAATTTGATGCATTGCATTTATATTTAAAAGACCAGTTTTAATATTTCAGCTTTTTGTGTAACATGTCAATCAGGTGAGTTGACCCAACAATATGGTGTTGGAGTTAGGTAATGATAGTTTATTGAAGTACTCCTCTTGAGCTCGGCTTAATGTACAATTTATTTGAACTGCCTTTTAAATCATATTGATTGTACATCCCAGGGACATGTATAAAAACATATACATGGTATAGCGGTTGTTTTGTTGTTTCCAAAGTTACAAATAAAGTAAAATACCTGTGTCGTAGTTTACCTGAATTGTTGGTAATTGTTTTCCTGCTTCCTCCAGGTTTTAGAGTAACGCTCTATTACTTTGTCGATGACCTCTCTGTGTGACCCACACACACAAACACAAAGTCAAGTGTTTTATCACTGTAGTGCTGTTTTGTCTTGATAAGATTCAAGCATGAACACAAAGCTCCTCTGAATAGAAACAGTAATGGTTTTTGCCCTCACCTGCAGCCTTTACAAGGGTCAGAGGGGTCAGAGGGGTCAGGGGTGCTTTTCTTTTTAGGATGCGGCCTCTGAGGTTCCACATTACTGTGGAGTGAACAAGAGAGAAACAGGACAGGTAAGGAAATAGGCAGGTGTCAGACAAAGATTAGTTATTTTTCTATCGGTTGTATTGATTCATTCCATGCAACTTTATGTTAAAGGAAGCAATCTTAATTAAAGGGACAGTGTGAAGGATTTGGCATATAACTTCCAGCACCTTTGCCTTGCTCATAGGCCATGGCATCATTACACTCCTTAATTGAAGGCCCTATCCAGAGCCAGTGTATGATTTGTCTCTTTGCTACTGTAAAACATGACAGGTGGAAGAGGACCCGCTGCCTTTGTAGGTATGAATGGCCTAAGGTAAGGAAACATAACTACTCTTAGCTGTCTGGATTAAAGACTACTTAAAACATGTTTTTGAATTGTATATTACATTTCTGCCAATGGATCCCCCTAAAACACAACAGAAATGTAAAGTAAGGGAGTACAAGCAGTAAATGCTTTTATACAATCAACTAAATGGTTAAACACAAAGTTCTATGTGCATGCACTTCTAGCTTCAAGCCACATTAATGTTATATTTTGTGTGGTTCTACTGTTGACATGAGGTAGAGCAATGGTAAGTCTCTTCTCTTAATGAACAACCAATGTACACACACATGTGCAGAGACCTTTGCTACTTTGGTATATTTTAGCAGGAGATTTGTGCACCCTGTGGTCAGAGTTTTGTAATGTCTATAATCTATGGTATGTTTCGCATTTACAGTTATGTGTCCTGTTCTTTTCCTGTTATGAAGTATGCAAAAAGTCTTTGATAGAGGGTGTTTATGGGTATTGGTTGTTGCGCCAGCTCAGAAACAGGACAGTTAAGGTATTCTAAAACTGCCTCTGATATAGCACTTCCAATGAATGAATGAATGAATGAATGGGGTTTCGGGGTTTGGCCATTTCTGTTACAAAAATTGCTTTTCACTTTCTTAACATAGATACTTAACAGAACACCATTTAAAAATAAATTAACTTAAAAAGTTTCAATTTTCCACATTCTCCACTATTATTATTACAATTAGAGTGCTTAATATTTTTTCAAATTGAATCCACATTCGATATTTTTCTTGTAAAATATGAGATACAACGTAAAAGAATAATATATATATATATGTATATACATATATATGTATTGTAGTAATAATGATATAATCTATTTAAAATTGTAAATGTATTGTATGTAGACATACATTTAGATATAAAATAAACAATATATATATATGTTAATGGTGGGGTGGGATTAAATAAGTGTGAACTTCTTCCCACCCCTTTTCGGATGTGTAATTAGGTAGATCATTTGTTTATATATAGCCTGTAAGTCAATCATATTTTTGTTTATCAATTTGACACTGCTTAAGTTTGTACAGTATAATCATTTTCACGTTTCATTTCATTATAATTTGTTTGTATTATTGTTTTACACGTTAGAAATAAATCAAATCAAAATAACACATTGAAATGTAGCCTCTGCATTTACCTTATCCTAGGTATCAGGAGCATTGCGTGGTACGATACAGCACTAGGGAAACAATGTGGCGGTGGCGTACCTTGCTAAAGGGGCGTCTCAGCCTGGAGGTGAACAAGCACCTCTCAAAGTACCAGTCAATACACTACACCTGGTACGATCAGAGACGTGAACTGACAACTCATTTTGTACTAATACACTTTCCATAGTTTTGTGTCTTTTGACAAAAAGAATGACATGAGTTGTAAAACATGTGTGTGTGTGTTTGATTGAAAAAGGTTGGGAAACACGTACTTGTTGTTGACCATATACCAGATGACAGTGGTCAGCAGGCTCCCCAGACAGAAGAGAGTGATCACCAAGGAGAAGAATAACTTCAAGAGCTGTCCCCTCATACCTTTCCACTCCTACTAACTTCACTCGCTAACCCCCTCACTGTCTTTCTCTCTGCTTCACCTTGATGAACACTCACCCAATGTCTGCTTTCTGTTATGCTCTCTCTGTTTCCTGATTTCCTTTCTCCCTCATTGGTGCTCTCTCTCTCCTTGTCTACAATTACATACATACACACACACACACACACTCTTTCTCTCTCAATAGGTTTAATCTTTTGCCTCTCAGCTTTCTTATGTTTTTTTTTACCTTACCCCCCCTCTTTATCCTCTTCCTGTCTGTCTGTCTGTCTGGTTTGACTCAGTGTTTCTGCTCTTCCTTCGGGTGAGTGAGAGAACGCCTCCTCAGTTGCCTTTCTCCGTTTTCTGCCTCTTGTTCAGGCAAGTTTTCTGTCTTCTGTGTGCCTCTACTTTGTCCTTCCTCACTTCCTGTTTGGGTCCAGGTCAGCTGAAAAGAAACCAATCTTTTGTTGCTCTACATCCTACTTTAATCAGTGCCATGTCTCTTTAATCCACATAACTTATTTCCTCATGTGTTCACACAGTCAAACTCACAATCCTACTTTCCACCCTTGTGCCAAAGCTCTTTCTATTCTCCGCCCCCAACCCAGAGCCCCAGACTTCCCTCTCTGCTTTCCCCTCCCTCCCCCAGCCATCCTCCGCCCACACCCCTTAAGCCCCTCTCCCCTTTGCACAAAAAGGAGGCAGTAACATGAGTGCCCAGTACTGAATTAGCCCACAGTTTGCCTCTAGGCAAATGTGTTTTTTGCGTATCAGGAAATGTATAAAACCAATATGGGGCAAAGCAAGTGAGGGGCAGAGACTTCCCATCCAATCAGAATGACTGCTTAAACCCACCAAACTCCTACCTACACACACAAGCATCTTTTATTCCTCACTTTCTCAGTGTGAAGTGGGAGGGAGTTGGAGGTTGGGGGCCAAGGAAGGGAAGTCTCCTCTCAGCAGATGGGAAACTTGCTTTTAACATGGCTGGCTGTATCAAGGGAGTAACTAACTATAGTAGCAGCCGGCAGAAGTGAGGGAAGCAAACATTTATAGGAAGTCAGACACAACCAGAGAGGTAGGGAGTTGATACCCAGAAAAGTTGAGATGTTTGGCTTTCATTTGGTGGCTGTTGCCAGCTATCAAATGAAAGGGAAATACAAATCAAGGAAGTTGTGCTCCATTTGGATTATGGTAGATATGTTGTGTATATGGTATGCACTTCCAAATAAACACCAGTAAACAGATGGCCACACCTAGTTCTGTTGCATTCATTCCACCTGGTTTTAGTTTCAGTGGAAAACTCCCCGCTGGGCTCCTTAAAATAAAGCAAAAAATGTCTAGTAACTACATGCTGATTAAGCTAGGCTGTGCCACAGCAACCCTAACCCCAACAAACACACAACACAAAAGAGCTCTTGGAAAGTTTTTATTTTGGCAGAAGAAAGGGGTTAGTAGAAGACGTGTTTGGGTCATATGAGGCTGCTTTTTTGCAACCAGACGGAATGAATAATCAATAGAGAAGGTTGTGGAAGTAATGAAATCAGACTAATGGTGCCAATAGAGAAAGTACTTAACCTGTTCCTTACATCAAACACACAGTCATGTAAGGGTACCTTCCCTGACTCCAGTGAGCAGCAAAGCCTCTCGTGGGGATATGTGACATGTTCGTGATAGTACAGGTGTTTATTGTCATAGTACGCAAAAATCACTTTCTGACATCAGCAACCAACAAGAAGTTATTCTGGAGTGTGTGTGTGTGTGTGTGTGTGTGTGTGTGTGTGTGTGTGTGTGTGTGTGTGTGTGTGTGTGTGTGTGTGTGTGTGTGTGTGTGTGTTGTATCTGGAGTAGACGAGAAGCTGCCGGGGGTAAATAAGTACTTCCTCTAAAGAGCCCATGTGACACCATCACAAGGCAGAAAGCAGAACAAAAGTCCCATTGTCACCTATACAGCATCCACTAAATCTGTCATCCCCTCCTCTACCCCATACATACAACCACCTCCTTCAGCAGTGATGAAGCTGCTGCCAGCTTCTTCTAAAACACAGGTTACGCCATTTTGAATGAAGTAAATTGCACAAGAGACATATCCAGGCTCGCCTCTGTCTCTGCTCAACATCTCTTAACAACGGTGGTTTCCCAAGAAACGCAGCATGCTTCCTGTCAAGATTTGTGTTAGGGGCGTATTTGTTATTTTTGTAAGAAGAAAAAAGGCTGTTGTGATGCAATTCTCTGTTTTGCTTCTCCCACCTAGTATTACAAAACCCTCAAGTTAGTTTGTTTCCACACGCTGTCTGACTTAGACCTGTTGCCTGTAGGTAACGTGACCTGGTAAAGTCTACAGTGACCAAGCGTGGAGACCTATCATAGGCAGACCACACTGAACTCAAGTTCGACAGAGTTTTGATCCACTATAGGAGAGAGGGATGAATCAGCAAAGCCAGGGGTTGAAACATCTACATGACTCCTCTCTCAGGATCAGATGTTTTAAAAACCTTGGGGTTGGAGACAAATCTGTATCCTGCATAATGTGTGACAATGTTGTGCATTATCACCAGCATTTTCTTCTCAATACCCCATCTGATGAAGCTTGTCTGAAATCCATCAGATTCCAGGAGCTCTGAGTTACATGTCGAGATAAAGTTGTAGGATTTCACCAGCTGTGACTCTTTATATTGTCCTCACCCCCACCTCGCTGTGACTGGAGAATGGCTTCACGGGGAGGTGTGATGGAGAAGGCGGGCCGGAGGGGGGCAGTAATGGGGTCATGGGACAGCTGATCCCGGTGCATTCCTGGGCTGCTTAGCATGAGGCCTGCTGCCCTCGTGACTGAATGTCTCATAAGAACTCATACAACCAAAACACATACCTGACAAATGTTTTCAGCACACGAACACTGTGCACAAACCACATTAAGATATTTGGCGCACATACAGTCACTTAAATGGCCACATGAATAATTTACACATCCTGCCATGATGTTAATGGACAAGAGAGACCCTCTTTTCCAACATATTATAAATCAACCTGTATTACCAAAAATAGAGTGGAGAATTGTCAATGTGTGCAATATAAATCGGGACCCCCTTGAAAACGAGATGGTGCATCTCAAGGGGTTTATCCCAATGAATAAAATGTCTATATAAAAATATATATAATAAACAGGTAGGAATAAACAAATGGTTTCTATGTCAGTTTCCAAGAACACATGCTTGAGGTTATTTACTGGCGCTGTCTCTTTGTGGTTGAAAGTGATACCAGATTCATCTTCATTGCGAATGTCAATAATTAGCATAAATCTAGCCGTTGGATGAACAGACGTTTTACCATTTTATCTGCGACACCCAACTACTTGAAGGTTACCAGCACGCTCCAATATATTACTTACCAACTTATTACTTAGGAATGGAACCTACAATTTCAAATCAACATTGCTGTAAAAAAACTAATTTTAAAGCCAAAATTATTCCAACATATTTCACCCTTTTTTCTTACTCCCTACATATGTGGATCACCGTGATTTCTGAAGACAAATGTACAATGCTCATGAGATCAATGGCTAATATTTAACCTTTAAACCTTAGTTTAGATATTTTTTCATACCAGCTGCAACCACTAGATGGCAACAAACCTTAAAAATAACCGATTACAGTGTGATTTGATGTTCAAATCATTATTACCTTGTTTTAATTAAAAGTGGTACTTCCTTAAGTTTTCTTTAGTATCAACTAAGTTTGAGAGACATTCAAAGTCTCTGAAAGTCATCACAATGTGCAGATGTTCACAGCTACATTTATATTCCTTAGAAGGAAAAATACAATTAATTTCAACTTCCTTGGAATCGGAGGTCTGATTGCAAGGTCTGATAGACTCCTTTGGTGAATAGCAAGACTAGCCATGTTACCAGGGTCGGGATACCAAAACAGCCTTTCAACTCAATTTAATATTAGAAATAAAAATGTTGAATTAGTTTTGCTAACCTCACTTTAAGATAGATATACAACCACAAACGTCATTTTGTCAATGGAAAATAACTATACAGATAAGTGGCTGTTAGATTTTCATCTAGCGCAGTGGTAGATAAAGTACTCAAATCTCATATAGAAATAACAATGTAAACATTCTCAATAAAAGTAAAAGTCCTGCTTTCAAACTTTTAGTTAAATTAAATGACTTGACATACTGCTGGGTATAAGTCCTTCATACAATATTTTGGTTCCCTTGTTTCTTCAAGGTCACATGTCATGGCCATTTCTACTGATCATATTTCCATTGTTGAGGTCTACTAAAATAGATTTATATTGTGCAATTTTCCAAATTCACATTGGTTTCTCATACAGCATCTCTGTAAAGTATGTGTATTCACCGGTATTCACTCTCTGTCCTAAACGGCTTGTTGGAGCTCCTGCCCCCCCCCCCCTCCCTGTGAGCCCAGCGTGCTCTGATTGGTCGGGACGTTGCGAGGTTTCCTGGTCGGCGACACCACGGGACAGTGTGAAACTCATCCTGAGCACACACAAACACTAAAAGCCGAAGTAAAAACAATAAGGCCCATTCCCAAACCGCCCCCTACACCCTACCCCTCCGTTTGCGCGTTCACGCGGAGGGTCCGCCATATTGAGGGCTGTTCCAAAGCAACGAGTGTGGAGGGGGAGTGGGCTATCAAGCTCTCAAACAGCGAGTCTGCAGCGGTGCTGACTTGAGACCGGTCTCTACCTGACCGGAGTCACGCTGTGTGTGTCCGTCAGGAAACACGCTGTTTACAAGTAGTTCCAGCAAACATCCACTGATAAACTGCGATGTTAACAACCTCATGATAACCTCATATGTTTTTAACTTAGGATCATCTGTGTTTAGTCTAAAAAGGTAAATGTGTGCATTTTATTATAAAGTTGTGTATATTTACAGACCGTTGCAAAAACTAAGAAGCTTATAAACATCAGGTTTAAAACTAAAAGAGCTTTGAAACACAATGAAAGATGTTTGGAGTTTTATTTGAGTTATTCATTTAAACTTTTTGTCTAAGAGATGCTGATTTGAAACCGTTGTTACATACAGTTACGGCATTTCCTGTTTCTGCCGGAGAGAGGGGAGGCCGTCCCAAAGCTTGCTGCTGTATTTACTCCCTCCGTCTGACAGGAGGGAGCCTCGTTGAGCTGCGAGTGTGGCTACAGACGGAGTTCACTCCATCACGGAGGGGTAGGGTCGAGGGAGTGGTTTGGGATTGGGCCTGTGTGGCTTGATATTGAGTAAGAAAAAGGTTTATAAACGCTGTGAGAATGGGTCTGCGGAGCAGGGGCGGTTCTAGGGGGGGGCAGTGCCCCCCTAACACTGACTTTGGACCCTCCTGTGGCCCCCCTGAAAATGAAAAAAAAAAGAAAAAAGTTTATGATTAAACGATTTCTTGGCTGACAGAATAGGCGTAACTAACGCTATTTGTCTTTCTAGTCGGACCCATTACAGCAGGGGTCTCCAACACGTCGATCGCGAGCAACCAGTAGCTCGCAAGCCCTCAATAAGTAGCTCGCCAAGAAAAATGTAAAAAATACACACAAAAAAAGGAAATGTAATTAAAAGAATCT